TTCCCCTATTGAAATAGGGGAACCAATTCCTTTCAAAGTGTGAATGGAAATGAGATAATGCCACCAGTGGAAATGCGAGAAACAGAGAATTTCTATGAAATTTGAAAGTAAACAATTTAAGCATAATCTGCACTTGAAAACAGAAATACTGCCTTGATTGGGCGAGAACAGAAAAAGTTTTTTTGTAGGGGTGGGGGCGAAAATACAAGGTTCCATGTATGTAGGTGAAAAACTATTTAACAAGATCCAACTGTTTTCATAATTTTGTTTCAAATAATTGTTTCGATTAATCAGGACAGTTAATTTAACTAATCCTAGCGTGTAAAGCAACTCCGGTGTTTCCAACAGCATAATCACTATGAAAAATGTTTATATGAAAAATATATGAGATAGCAATGAAACGCATGCAACCGTAAGAAGAGAGGGGGGCATCCCAGAAAACTTTTTAATTCAAAAATTAAACAAAAAAATATAATTTCAACCTAGTGGTTCTTTTCAAACTAAAATAGTCAAATCTCCGAAACTACAGGGTTTCAAGTTTTTGTTTTCAGATTAGAAAGAAAACCCTAAATCGCCGACCCCATAAAACTGCACTTTCTATATTAAAAAAAAAAACGATTTTATTAGCAAAATCACTAATTTCATCTATCAAAGTTTTTTTAGATCTAAATTTTCTTCCAGCAACGGCATATCTTGGACACTAAGACGATTCAGGAAAATTAAGTAGCCTGAGCAGTCGAATTTGAAAGCAAGATTTGCAACCACTGAGCGCACCCTGAAAGCACCCCACACTAGGGTTGGTAATTTCAAACTTCGTAAAATTAAATTTTAACTAGCAATCCAATGCAGAAATTTCCGCATTCTAAATGATTATCTAAATTATACGCAGAAAAACACCTGAAATGAGGTTGATAAGTGAAAACGATTTTGAAAAACTTAACATTATATCACCGAAATTCCAGAAAATCAGTTGTTCGAGCAACACTGGCTTTAAAAAATAGAATAGTGAATTAGACAATAACATACCTGAAAAAACAACAACGTAAGAATAAGATGATTAATCATAAATCGGTTTGGGGAAAAGTTTTGTTTGGGGAAAACAAAAACCTATTATTCACCGATATTAAAAACAACCGGGCATCCTTTCTATAGGTTACGGGATGATAAAGAATTAAGGTTGATTAAGCATTACACAGATGATAAGAAAAGAATCAATAAGAACGAACATTATCTTATTTTTTTCCAATTTTTTTTAAACGATCATACAAAGGAATTTTCCAAATAGCCGATAGAGTGAAAAAAATATGTTTTTCCAAGCTTGAATCTTAAAACAATATTCAAAGAGCATTCAAAAATCAAAGGATCATACCGAATCAAGTACCGAAATCATCCCTGAAAAAGAATAAAAGGAACACTTCATTTAAATTACCTGATATCAAAAAAAGAAATCACTGAATAACTGTTTGTTGAATAACAAAAATAACAAATCATCGAAAATTTTTTGTGAAAAAGGATTACTGGTTGCAAAGCTTTTTTTTTTAAAAAAGGTGTCGAGGTTTTGCTTTCAAATAAATTAAAAATGAGACAATTCATTGCAAAGATTGTTTAAAAAAAAAGGGAACAAATCGCTCCAGAGCTTTCGTCAAAAAAACCTGAAAAGAAAACACAAAACTGAAATTCAATAAGAAAACAGTGCAACGCAAAAGAAAAAGATAGAATTGAAGTAGCCAATTAATAACTTTATTCAAATTATATAAACGAAAAGAACAAATCACTGCATAGCAGTTTGTTCAATAGATAAAAACAACAAAAAAGGAGAAACAATTTAATTTTAAATTAAAAAAAACAGCTGCGAACCTTTTGAATCCTAACGAGCGAATCACTGCTACGCATTTTTTCAGAACCAAAAAAGCAATCTACAAATCGATTGTGTAACGTTTTTTCTGAATCCTTTAATCTTTCAGTATGGTGAAAAAAGAATCACTCCATCACGAAAATCAGAATTTTAGGCTTTTAACAGAAGGCTGCCAGTGACATCTGACATTACACCCCTTTCATAGTCCTGCGCTGTCAACCGAACATATTTGAAACGGTAAAAACATTTATTTTTCAGCCAAAACTCTCTCTGCTGAAATAAACTTGACGCGGAAACTCGCTAGTCGTAGGCCCTCGTAGCCAGTTCATTTAATTTTCTTGAAATTGTTCGCTTTACGGTTATTGCTTCTACTAACTGTGCCGTGTCCCTTTAGCCTCCAATACACCCGAAGAGCAGGATGGAGGCTTTTCAGAGATTGGACACCTAGCTGAGTCTACGCGGTAGTAACCAATGAACAAGTTCATGAGGGGATTCAACTTTCAAAACGAAAACTGAAGCACAAAACTAAGAGATGTCTTAGTAGAACGTAGAGTCTGAGGAGAAGCAGATTATCAAAAAATTATCACCGAGCATCAAAAGAAATGCTCAAAATAACCCGTATTTCAGTTTTAAAAAGATATAAAAAGTGAAACAAAACATCCTTGAAAAGCATTTAGTTCAAACATGCATGCTTGAATAAAAACATTGTGACTACGCACAAAACCGATGCTTGATGAAAATCCGCAGGTTAGCAGTTACGTTTAAGCCCATTTGTACAGCATAGCAATTAAAAATAGACTGAAGCTAAAAACATGTAGAGAAAGCGTAACATGCTCAACCATGTCAATATAGGGACTTCTTAAACATGGCTGGAAATGTCTCGCTCAATTAAAAATAGATAGATTCAAGGTTTTAAAAAATACTAGCGTGTAAGGCACCTCCTGTGCTTCGAATTTACAACAACTCAAAAAATATTCTTCCAGTGTACTCTGACAGCACCCAATTACAGGGTTCGTAATTACAAATTTTGTAAAGTTTTTTATTTTGCAAAGTTTTTTCATTAAGTTCTTCGAAAAATTGAAAATGAACTAAGAAATGTCAAGATTTGCACATCCTGGGAGTACCCTTACTGTACCCAAAAACAACGTTCGGAAATTCAGATTTTGAGAAACTTCACCGTAAGTTTTCTGAGGTTTTTTTTTGAAAACCGGAAAAAATTCACATTTCGAAAACTACCAAATCTTGAGCAGTCTTTTTTGATGGCAAAAATTGCAATCTTTGAAAGTACATAACTACAGGGTTGGGAATTTCACTTATACGAATTAATTTGTAATTTAATTTTTCTGAAAAGTTCGAAAAAAAATATCGTCTTATCTCTTAAGCTAAAATGATTTGGGCATTCTTAATTCTGCAAGATCTGGAAAACTGCAAGATTTTGAGCAGTCCTAATCAGAGGCAAAATTCGCAACCCCCTGAGAGGAGTTTTTTTTGAAAAACGTCATATCTCGAAATCTTCAAGGATTTGAGCAGTCATATTGGGAGGCAAAATTCGCTACTCCTGAGAGTACCCTGACAGAGCCTCACTGCAGGGATGAGAATTTCAAGTTTTGCGAAATTTTTATACCTAAGTTTTCTGAGAAATTTGGAAAAAATCCTAAAAAAAAACGTCATATCTCGAAAACTACAAGAATTTGAGCAGCCATATTCAGAGGAAAGATTCGCAATCCCCTGACAGTACCCTCAAAGATTCCAAAAACAGGATTGATGATATCTTCAAAGTTTCGGAACTTTTCAACATTAAATTTTTTTTGAAAATTTCGGATAAAATCATAAAAAACGTCATATCTCGAAAACTACAAGGAGTTGAGAAGTGCGAATTAGAGGCAAGATTTGCAACCCCTGAGACTACCCTGACAGTACCCAACTACAGGGCGAGAATTTCAAAAATTGAGAAAGTTTCTGAAAAACCTCGAAAATTGCTTATCTCGTTAACTTTAAGGATTTGGTTAATCATATATGGAGGCCAAAATCGCAAAACCTAGAAAACACTGACACCATACTACAATTGGGATGCTAAATTCAAATTTGATGGAATAAACACTGAATTTAAACTGGAAAATAAAAAAAAAACTTCAACATTGCAATATACGATATAGCTTAAACGTGAAAAAATTCATTTGTTAAACATGCAAAAACATTACGTTGAAAAAGCCTAAACATGGCGAGATAGTGAAGCCCGCATTTAAATATATAATAGATTAGATAGATAATAGATACATAATAGAGGAAAGTTAAAACATTAGGTGACGGGTGGACACATAATCAAATTAATTCAAAAAGTAGGTATGCAGACAGACAGACATTATTTGGCCTCAAAAAATACTGAAAAACTAATGATCTTGAGAAAAACCAATTGAAAAAATTTTCTTGAGCATTGCAATATATGATATAGCTTAAACGTGAAAAATTCTTCCGTAAAACATGCAAAATTATTATGCTTAAACATGGTAGATAGCTGTCACTCGCATTTAAATATAGTATAGATAGATAGATAGATAATGAAAAAACATCATATCTTGTAAAACACAAATGTTTCAGCAATCTCACTCCGATTTGAGATTTGCAACACCTGAGAATAACCTGAAAGCATCTAACTACAGGGTTGCGAAATTCAAATTTTGTAAAATGTTTCACTTAATTTTTCTAAAACATTTTGAAAAAATAATTAAAACATCATATCTCGGAAACAAAAAGCATTTGAGCAGTCACATTTGTAGGCATGGTTTTCGAACCCTAAGAACACTTTGAAAGCACACAAGTACAGAGTAAAAATTTTTGAATCTGCATCAGAATCATAGAAAACGTCATATCTGGGAAACCAAAGGATTCGAGAAGTCATATTTGGAGGCAAGATTCGGAAACCCTGGGGGAACCCTGACAGCATTTAGTGAAGTAAACATTGAAATCAGACTGGAACATCAAAAAAAAGCATCGAAACTTTTTTTGTTAAGCTTGAAAAAGTATTACGTTGAAAAAAACTTAAACGTGACGAGATAGTGAATCCCGCATTTAAATATATAATAGAAGTAGATAGATATAGATAGATATAAGAAAACGCCTCATAATTTATTATTCATTGACTCACCTTTGTAACTTCTTCTGTAACAGTACTTTTCCAATGTATCCCTATATCATCCGCCAGAAATTGATCTAGGCTGCTATTTTCTTGCAGAAATTTATTCAGTTCTTCTGTTAAGGTAACTATATGACCAAAATTTCCTTTTGCAAGTGAAAATGGCAAAGTGTTCTGATTTTCAGAGGAATCATCGGGTACATTTTTCTGTTTTCGTTTTATTTCGCTTTCCCAAGAACTGTTCAATTGCTTAAGTAAATCTGTGCTTGTCAAAAGACTTTTCGGCATATCTAAATTGGATAATTTGTCGCTTGTATCAACTGGCAAAGACTTTATAGCGGTGCTGATACTTAAGTACGAACGAATAAGTTTTACCACGAGCCCATGAAGAATATTATTGTTGGTGTAGACAAAAAAGGAATCAATTATTAAGGAAATGAGATTCGAATTAATTAATTTGGTCAATGCGTCCAAAGAAGTATCGACAAAGAAGGCAATATTAGCTGCGAATTGCTCCAGGACGGCAACGACAAATTCAACTATTTCTAATCGGACCCACCCAAAGGGAATCTGAGGGGTTTCGGACGAAGTTAACATTAGCGGGTTCTGATTTGGAGGCGACGAAAAAACTGAGTGTAGGTGTTCAAAAACTGGACTGAGCATGTTGAATGCTAACGAAATTGTCTGGTTCAGAACACTTAGTGTATTGGATGAGAACTCTTCATTCGCTCCAGCTAGACTCAACGCCATTGGTTTAGCTGTAATCATCGATACAAACAGTTTTATTGTAAAGCCAACTGTTGTAACGTCATTGGAGTTAGTTGACATTTGGTTTAAAAGCAGATCTATTGAATCGCGGCAAATTATATCTCTGAGGAACGCACACTGCTCGTCAGCTAATTCCGATAATTCAGTTTGATCCTGGCCAATAGTTGCTATCAAATGATCTCTAGAAAGTCTAATGAGATCCTCCAATACCATTGCTGAATTCATTTTTGCTTGGCTATCTGAGGCTGATCCCAAGGAATGAATCAGTAGACTGACTAAGTTTTGTTTCTTCATGTAATCTAAGATTTCATCTCGGATAGATTCATTTTCTTGGTATGTCACAATTCTCATTATGACATCAGCAAAAGCTGAGTTCCCTATGTGACTGACGAGTGAAGATATGATATGACTTCGCTTCAACAAGTACTCGGAGAATTGCTTTGCATACCCGGGAAAAAGCGAAGTTACCACTTTTGAAAAGAAGCTAGCTTGAAGGGGGTTTATTTCATCCGATTGGGATAGAAGCGTCCACAGAGAGTCCAATCTGTTTTCTTCGACCAGTCGTTCGCAAATTTGATCGGTACACGCGGAAAGTATTTCTGAAATAATACTAGGTTTTTTGAACCTCTCCGACATTTCGACTTCATTTTTGGGTTCTATGGTTATTTGTGACACCATATAGTCAAACACTGACTTTTTGCATAGAAAATTGAGCAACTGCGAATTTTTGGTTCTTACTTCTTGCAACAGGTCGTCTTCATTGAGCAACTCAGTCAACGTTGATATTTCGAGCTCAGAGTAATTTTCCTTCGTGCTTAGGTTTTCTTGATCTCCGCATGCCTTTTCGGGGTCCGCATCGGATTCAAAACTCTCCTCATTTTTCGATCTATTTTCATCAGATTCTTCCGGTTGTCTCAAGGCTGATTTATATTCTTCTAAAATTTCGTCGATTCGACTTGATGCTGCATATCTGCATTGCCAAAACATACCTAGAAAAATTATGGCGTTAATTAAACTCAGAAAAACACATTCGAACAAATTGAATCGCAATAAATAGAGAATGTCGCCCCTCAAATAAATAGTACGTAACAAAAAACACTGAATTTGCCAAATGGACGTATCTTCAAATGCACAAGTGTCAGTCATATTATGATTATTATTGTCAAAAACAGCAAAAAAAAACAGAAACAAAGTCTTTAGGATTTAAGTTATAGTACCACTATCTTACGGAACATTCAGTAAAACATTTGAAACCTTTCCAAGAACTTTTTCCATAGTTTACCACAGTTGGATCTTCTTTAATTTTTTTGTGGTAATCAGAAGGTCAAAAGTATCGTGGTAACCGAGGTTACAGTCAGGAGTCCCTTCATCACGTATTCCAGTCAAATCCTTGGAGTTTTCTAGATATTGAAGTGATAATGATAAAAGAAGAAAAGTGTTGATGTCCTTACCATTAAAATCGCTACGGGTTACGTTTCTTCAATAAGAACACGCAACTCGACACGAAAAAATATAATTTACAAATATAATTGTTACAAACAAAAAATTTCGCCGAAAGTTATTTTGTCATTAAATAATCCGAGTACGCAAGTTTCCAAGTATTGCCAGGGAGATTCTTTGTCTTAAAAAGCTGCCTGCTCTGGGTTCCTCAGTGCATATGCTTTCGTTCTCACAAAGCTTGCTCAAGAAAATTTGTGTGCTGGGGCCGCCCGCACCCTGAATCTCAAACGCTAACGGTTGAAAAGATGCCCATCATCTACTAAGTCTTTATAATTGTCATTTTTTCGCTCATCCGCTTTAGCGTCATCCGTACCAGGGTTAAAAACAGACACGGCACTAATCCAAATAGGAGCTAAGGAGTCTACCGTTACATCCCACAAAAGCTGCTTACCAACAGCCCATGAAACAAGCGTAAAACCGTCTGGTCGCTTCTGATCGGTCCTGTAGAGGTGTCAAGATTCTAAAACAGACGGAATGAGAGTAGAAGGTAAATTCTGCTTTATAAATGCATTCAAGTTTGAGAATCTTCCTGCACTTTTGAAGCCAGAAAACCATGACAACCATCTTTAGTAACGTCTTTTAGACAGACCAGAAAATCAACTGGCTAGGTCGAGATGGTGAAAAACGAGTAGAATTTAGGTAACTGACGCCGGCCAGTCGTTCATAGTTACTTTTTCTACGCTCAGTCACTGTGCAGTATTTGGGCGAATGTTACAAAGACGTTTTTATGGCGCTTCTGGGTAGGGAATTCAAGTACTTGACTTTTGCTGGAATTGAGAATTGACAGGGTCACAGGAATTGGGAATTGGAATTGGCGTCAATTCCAGTTTCGGGAAGGGGAATTGGAATTGAATTTTTGGCTGGAATTGACATGGTATTTACATCAAAAATTGGCAAATGAAGCTGATATCTTGAAAAATGACTCGGTCTAAATGACAACCATCTTCACACGCATTTACGCCATTCGCAAACTTTTGAACCTTCTCGAAGTCCTATTGCAATTGTGAGTTGTTCAGACTTTTTTTATGCCAGAGTAGCGTAAAAACAACAGCAGTAAGAAAACAAAGGCTAGATTAAACCTACTTTCCTTCGGATAACAAAAGCAATACCAAGTTATAATATTTTACCCTAAAAAGGCTCGCGAGAGACAAAAAAACTGCCTTTGTTTCAACGTCTGATTTTGCCATCCACAGGTGACGCTGCTAATTTGCATCGCAACTGGTCACGCTGTTAATTTGCATCGCAACTGTTTCGAAAGAGTTTTTTTTGAAATTTGTGTCGAAACGCAAACTTTTAATTCTAAGCAAAAAATAAATTGCGACCACGCAGACAAGAAAAAAAGCTGTTAGAATAATCATTTTTTGGCTTTCTATACGGGCCTTAAATTTTATTCCAGTTTAAAAAGGTTGACCAATATATACAATCAAAATCTTAGTTCCGTCAAAAATTATCATCAACTAAAGTGCGCAAAATCCATATTATTGAAATGGGGCATAATTTTTTAATTGGCTTTCGACTAGAACATTTTTTACACTTCTTGAGCTTATTGGGGAGAGGGCTATAGAATGAAGAAAATAGTTGTTCTATGTGTATTTTTGCTTAAACTGGAACTTTTTTTGCCAGCTAGTTCGTCACAAAACCATCAAGAGGTGCTTTGACAGTTAAAGCAAAAAATACACAGTCTTTTTTTTTCATTCTATAGCCCTCTCCCCGATAAGCTCAAGAAATGTAAAAAACGTTCTAGTCGAATGTCAAATAAGAAATTATGCCCCATCTAATGTGCAAAAACCAAGTACTTCTCAACTCATGAACAAAAGCTTCTAAATTCATATTTTGCATGTTTCGAACAGGCAGCTCAAGTTCGACTTGGTTTTTATGTCGAAAATTTTGATTTCTTCCTTTGAAAAGATTTCTGGACTGACTTTTGCCAGGGCATTTGACAGCATTTTTTTGTAGAAGAGTTTTTGCAAGCCACCGCGTCCTCTTTGATCTGTTCATTATAGGCATGTGTTGATTTTAAAGCATACACTGTGTCGCGTGTGCGTGTATGTGTAGGTGTGTGTGTGTTCAAGTGGCTGCAATTTGAATGCTACTCAGCTAAAGTGCCAGAATTACACGGTTGCTTTGATTGCGGCAATTCCAATTCCTACTGAAAAGTTATGACTAATTTTTATTTTAGGGCGGTTTCTGGATCCCATTACTCCTTAACACATCGTTCACGCTGTTAATTTGCATCGCAACTGTTTCCAAAGAGTTTTTGTTTGAAAAATTGTGTCATGACGCAAACGCTTAATTTAAAGCAAAACATAAATTGCGACCACGCAAACTAGAAAAAAAGCTGTTAAAAAAATTATTTTTAAACGGCTTTTGGCTTTTTAAACGGGCCTTAAATTTTGTTCCAGTTAACAAAGGTTGAACTATATATAAAAGTAAAGTCTTTGTTCCGTCAAAAATTATCCTCAGCTTGTGTCTCAAAATTTGACGCGAAATGAGAACAGTTTTAGGAATCGAGCATTTCCTTTCACATGTGAGAGGCTTCTCATTTCACCAACAGCCAAGTAGAAAAAAAGTTGAATCAAAAGTCTGCTACCTAAAGCATAGCAGTTTCTGAGGTTTTGAACATTAAAATAATAATAATAATAAACAAGGATTTAGACATAAAGCCATGGGGCTAAAATGCCCCGCGTTGGGAGTTTTAAACTGAGTTTTATAGTTTCTTTGAGTTTACACAGCTATTGCAGCAGTTTATTCTCCATGTGCATGGGACACTTTCCTCATATTTACTGATGAAATATATCCAGAAAACGTTTTTGAGGCTTGATTTGAGTCTTTCGTATTTCATCGCAAACAGGTCTTTTTCTTCCTGAGTCTGTAAAATTTTGTTTGCTAGTATAGGTGTTCTGTGCCAGAAATTGCTTTTCGATTTTTCGTAATGATAATTTTTGTGCGCTAAGTTATTTTTCGTTGATCTTCTTGTTGGGGCTGTAGATTCTTTGAACTGAACAAATTGTCTCCAATGGAAGTTGTATTGGTCGTTTATTATTTTATGAAGCAAGAGAATGTCGTGCATTTCGTGGTAGAGAGACAGTGGAAGCAGGTTTAATCTAATCAGTCTGTCTTTATAGTTGATGTTGTTACATGACAGTATCCAACGTGTAGCTTTTCTTTGGACATCTTCTATAATTTTTAATTCACACTTATTTGCTTTCCATATGGGTGAGCCATATGACACAATTGGGTTTACATATCCACAGTAGGAGTTCAGTTTCATTTTTAAGCTCGCTGATTTTGAAATATTTCTTTTAATTAAAAATAAGCAGCCTATTGCTTTTTGGGCTCTTATTTTTGCGTGTGCTGACCAGTTTAGGTTGTTGGTTATTTGTATACCAAGGTCTTTTTCTGAACAGGTTTTTTCAAGTATATGGTCACCGAGATACATGTTTAGGTCAAGTTGGGGGTCTTTGAATATTATATTGTGACATTTTTTCAAATTAAGACTCATGGAATTATCTTTGCACCATAAGTTGATTGTGATTAGGTCATGTTGGAGCAGGGAAGGGTTCGTTGCAACAATTTTATAATCGTCTGCGTAACCATAGCACGAGTTGGTGAGTGATGACGGTAAATCGTTGATGAATGTAATGAAGAATCGCCGATGAAAAGTGGTGAAAAGAAAAACGAAAAATAAAATTAAACTGGCTAATCACTCAGTGCATCACTCGAATTAGAGTTACGGCAACTGAATAAGTTTAGTTTTGATTTTCACTTGATACGATAAGACCAATAAGAAACATCAATAACTTTTATAAAAAAAGATTCGAATTTTTCATAGGAAAAAATGGAAGCTTCGATTCTATTTTTTAAGAATAGAAGCTTCGGTTCTATTTCTTAAAAGCTAACAAATTCTATATTTCAAAACACAGCTTCTTCTTTTATATAACTTGAAGCTCCAAATGAAAGCTGAAAGCCTTTTTGTTTTATTCTCACAGTCTCTGTTCAGTGCAGGTATGAAGCCTTGGCAGAACGTTGAATTTGGATTTTGGTGATTTCAAAAACAATTTAAGAATGTCTCGCTCAAAAACTTCAAAAAAAGGCCGGTGCTTTTGTGAAACTGGGCCGTTTTACTCTATTTGACTTAGGGCATAAAGCATAAATCAAGCGTAGAGAAACTACGTATTGTTTCGAATTTAAAGGAAATGCCGGATTTTTTGTGCTCGGGTGGTTTTAATTTCTCCAAATCATTTTGACTTTTCAACGAGCCATTTCTGACATACTTTTAAGTCTGAGAAGTATGGAAGCCCTGATGCGAAACTGTAAAAGATATTTTGCTTGTGATTGTTTTTCGTTAAGTTATGAGGGTTCAAAAATTGCCATTTTGCGATAGCTAACGCGCAATATGTTTTGCATTTTTAAAGCAAAATGGCAATTTAATTGCTCCAAAATGATTAGGATAGGCAATTTTGCTCTTTTTAATGTGTAATCAGACA